GAACTAACTCCATACGTTCATCATCATACATTGCGTACCGTGCATTTTTCTTCTTCCTTCCATACTGTGCACGAGGCCTTTGGCTACTCAATTTATTTTCTTTTGTTGCTTCTCTATTCTACATAGACCCGACAATCTCCCTCCGACAAAAGCATACTTTTTGAGTACTCTAAAGAAATATAGCCCATTGGGCCGGCTTTAGGATTATGCTTACTCCTACTGTGGAGAAAACCAGAGGAGTCCGACTACCATTTCTTCGTATGAAGTACGTACTTGTTCTTCACCGTGCAAGCTCTACAGGTTTCGGAATCCGAGGCCTTCAAGTTCAACCGTAGACGTAGAAGCAAACCGGTACTTAAGCATCGAGCGAATGAGAGACGAGTGAGACGCCTTTAGCTCCTAGAATGCCTTCTTCAACTTTGCTATACGCAATTCGTGCGCCAAATAGAACTGCTAGACTACGTCGAGTTGTGACCACTCATGCCTCTAAAGAGCGAGGCAAAGGGTAACACTAGGGCGGAGCTGCACCTTTTGTTCTTCCAGCTCGGACTCCTAAACTAGAAACTATATAACAGGCACGAGATGATCAGGTGTGTGCACTAAAGCTCGACATGATGAAAGCTTATGAGAACTTCACTGCTATAGCTGATACGGGATCTAATGACTTATTTCTTAAAATAGGGTTTTGTGACTACCGAAAGTGTCTCTTTTCATGACACGGGGGGTGCGAAAGTTCCATTTTTTTAGTTTTTTACTTTTGCTAAATTGAATCAGCTTTTTTTCAAAATCGATTTTTTTTCCAAAACTACTGAACTTGTTTTCAAAATTCATGTAATTATTTAAAATAGATGACTTCTTTTGGAAGTTGACAATTTTTTTAAAAAATTATGAACCTTTTTCAAATCAAACAAACTTTTTTCAAAATCAATGATTCTTTTAAAATTGATGAACATTCTTTAAAATCGAACACAATTTATTCAAAACCTATGAACTTTTTCCAAAACCACTGAGCTTTTTAAAATTTAAGTTTTTCCAAATAATTCCAAAATCTTAGAGATATAGTATAAATAGTGCATCCACAGTACTTCTTATATTCTTTTGCGCTGTTTTCAGTCAATGCAATTGAGTAGCCTGAGTGGTTAGCAAGACTTGTATGGGAGTCCAATGGTGCGAGTTTGAATCTTGTATAAGCTAATTGTTTTGCGGTTTTTTTCCATGCTGTAAGTTCGCTGCGTTCGCGTTTTATGGGCCGGCCCAACTGAGCACCCAAAAGGAGGTCCCCTTGTTCGATGATTATGGTTGTGCCTCAGTTTGTCTTATCGTGTGTATGGCCCAACAAGATTCACGGCCCAATAACACATGACAAATTGATTTCTAGCTGGTTTACTTTGGTCCCACAATTTTTTTAGCGATCAACTCTGTACATATCTATACCAACATAAAAAGACCCGAAGAGGCAGATCCAACCAAAAATCGGCTATCAAACAAGGTCAATCCAACGAAATGGACCGCTCCAATGTGAGTGATAGTTGGTGCTCGGCCCAGCGCGTTTTTACCAAAAAAAAAACTACTTTGTTTTATTTGTGAAAAAATGCAAACTCTTGGTGTGTTCCGCATGTCAATACAAACCGAAAATTAAGACGAAATAGTGTGGGCACCAGGTTTCAAACCTGGAACTCCTTTGTGGACGACAATTCACGGGACGATTCTTGAACGACAGCCGATCGAATGGTCATCCTGTACATAGCGGACATGATGAAAGACTCCGGCGACACGTCGTCCATAAATCATCCGTACACTATCGTCCGTATAGCATTCCTCTTTCAACCACGGCCACCTACACACGTTGATGTCTAAAATGAATAATTACCTCTTAATATATTAGAACAAAGGCGTGAACTGAAATGAACTGCATTCTGTGCGGCGCATTTTGCACTCGTCGTTTTTTATATAAATCTGTAGAGAGTATTTAAATTATAATCCCAGAAATAAAAATAACTTTCAAATATTTGCGTGTTATAAATATTGTACTTACAAATGAAATAACTTACTACGCAACCTCAAAACTAGTTCATTTATTATTTTAAAATATTCAAATATTTAACATAAAATTTCTGAATTATAAAAGGATACCCACACGCAACCTCATCCGGTCACCCCCTCATGCACTCTCCCCAAGGCATCCCTCCCTTGTCAAGTCTTGTCGCCTCTTACAGGCACACCTACTAGTAGTAGTAGGCATCTAGAAGTCGGAGAGGCGCTGGATCATCTACTTGCCTAATCTCTGATGTATGGCTTTCTCCACTCTTCACGTCCTCCAGTCTCCCTCCCTCCCTGTCTCTCTCTCTCTCTCTCTGAATCTCCGATAATCACTGGTATGATTCAACTTTTATCTCCCTCCCTCTGAAATACTGCAAGCCCTATAAAATAGAGAAGCTCTTTGTTTTACCTTCTCCCTGATAGCTCCAATTTCCTCTATTTCCCGAAATGTTTTCTTCAACTTTGAGTTGTTACATTTTTACCTAAAATATTTATTCACGATTCGTTTTTGTTGTAGATCCATTCCGTGGTTAGGAGATGAGCAAGCCATGGAAGAAACGCAAGGAGCTGGATGAACATCGCTACTGGAACCACACAGGCGAGCAAGATAAGCATTTCTTCAAGGTTATGATTGGCGACTTCCATGAGAGAATGGTAATTTTCATTGGCTATTTTCAGTTCGACTCTGTTCTGGCCTCCTAGGGTACTTTTATTTTCAAGTGTATTATGTTCTAGCTTTCTATGGAAGCAAAAAGGGAACCTCTTGGAGTGAAACTGTATTACTTAATTCGGTCAGATCTGGGCAACTCTGTTTCACATCTGAAATATAGCAGAAAGTTTCAGTGTCTCCTGACATAGTGTGCTTCACCTTGTTTCCTACAGGTCATACCAGATAGGTTTGTCCAACATTTCAGGGGGCAAACAGGACGAACTATTAAGCTAGCATCACGCCATGGTTACACTTTTGATGTTCAGATTACCAAGAATTTGGAGAAACTAGTCCTTGATTCGGGATGGAAGGCGTTTGCTCGTGCCCATAACTTGAGAACGGGGGACTTTCTTGTGTTCAAGTATGATGGCCACTCTCAACTGAAGGTTTTGATCTTTGGGCCGAGCGGTTGCGAGAAAATTCAAGCGTGCAATCTCAAGAAAAATGCTGCTCCTGGTAAAGACTGGTGGGGAAACACTGCTGACATTGTAAACACTTGTCATGATCTTCCCATGAAATTTCCACAAAGTGGAAGACAGATTAGGCCAAGCAAGGATACCTCAAGGCAGGGGAATGATATCATCAATGTCAGCTCGTCGAGCTCTGCTTCAGATTCAGCAGGTTATAATTCACAATGTCAAACCTGCCATATATTATGCCCCATAGAACTTCATATATGACTTTATTTTCTTTGTTTAGGAGGTATTTCATCTTCAGAAGATGATGATTTCCTGCCAGGTTGTATCCTCGCAAATGGCACCCTCTTGAATCTAAATCGGGTGCAGAAGAAGCAACTTAAAGAAAAAATCCGAGCTATGAATTCCGAAATCCCCATTTATGGGTGTGTCATAAGGAAGAGCAGTATTTACGGAACACTGCATGCCCTTGTGAGTTACTCTCTCCGTTCCGATTTACTCACCGTGGTTTTAGTTCAAATTTGAACTCAAACCACAACGAGTAAATCGGAACGGTGGGAGTAAAATCTCTGTTGTCAAACGGATACTGTACGTTAGTTGTGCTGCCTTTGGCAAGCTGGCTTTTTATCTTTGCGCCTGACTTACAAAAATAATGTTTGTCCACCCAAATGTTCTTAGTTTATTCTGCATATTGATTGAGTTTGTATTGGAGTCATGTAACCATTGGGATAGAAAATTGTACCTGGAGCAGATTGAAGTTTGTCTTACCCAAAACAATATATGTTTGTCTTACCCCATTAGTATTCTGCTTATTCTATCTTCTCCGTAGCGCTAGCGGTACTTCGCCCTCTTCCTGTGGCGGGATTGGCGTCTGTGTGTTTGTGTGGATGGCTTGTAGGCTGTGGGGTTTGTTTGGTGGTGTCTGTTGTAGTGTGTGCCTAGTAGAAGCTGGTCGTAGTCTTGAGTAATTGAGTTGAGTGGTTCGTTATTTCGGCCTAGTCTTGGGCCTGTACGGATGTTAATCTTTTTTCTATCAACGGATCAAAAGGTAATATTTGCGTTTTCTTGAAAAAAAACATTAGGATATTAAAGAAACTTTACGGTGTCAAATTTACAGGTGATATGCTGCTCAATTTTATAGGTTAGCAACCCCAGTAAACTCTTATCGCTACGCCTTTCATGTAAGCTGGGTGTTACAACTTTGGTTTACTTTTTTAATGAACATTGATACTAGACTACGAAATGTTAGTATCATGGACGTGTAGATAGTCCACTACACCATGCTATTTGCTCGAATTAGCAATACTAAAGATCATTTCTCCCTTTATCAGGAAATATCAAGAAAATATGCTGAAGTATACCTTCCATTTGAGGAACAAATGCTGACCCTTCAGCATCATGGCAAGAAGTGGGAGGTGCGGTGTCGTGTTAAGAAAAGCAAAGCCAAAAGGCTTTTGAGAGGGTGGAAGCATTTTGCGCGTGACAACAACTTGCAGCTGGGAGATGTCTGCCTCTTTGAGCTACTGAGGAACAAGAAGAAGTATGTGATGAATGTCCATATCATTCGCAAATCCCTTTACAAGAGGTGAAGTTTGGCATACTTCCTACCATTGGTACTAACTTTTGATATGGTGAATTACTGCATCAAGCATTGTTGTAAACCAAGAATTGTTTGCCAAAACATTGTGGGTATCAGCAATTCCCTGGAATAATTTAGTAGTTATGAGCTCAAAACTAATTATGTTTGGTCTGCAATCCATTGCATCATCTCTCTATCTCACTGTACTCTCTCGCCAGGAAATGTGCATCTGAAGAAAAGCTGGCCACATGATTCAAGAAACAGAAGTAGCAAAAGGAGTTTCGGGTAAGGCCGGAAGAGTGGAGCCCTGACAATATACTGAAGAAAGAGCTCGGAGTTCATAATAAAGTTCAAGTCCAGTTAGTTTCAGCTGCCTTTTGTGTTATCATGGATGTAATACTCTTAAGACCTTATGTTTACCTTATGTTTAAGTGGATGAAGTGTAATGGCAGATAGGACAATATTATGTTTAGAGGTTATTGCGTGGATGTACTGCGGGTTATGTCAGGGCAGAGTTACATTATGACCAGTTGCTCACTTTTGCTGTTGGTTGCAGTGCCTAGGATATACCTGGGTATCGTACCGAAAAAGACTTTCGCCCCGCTTTATATATAAAGCAAACCGCCACAGAGCACACATACAAGCACTAGTCCCCAACACACACACACACACACACACACACACACACA